GTTTTTAGCAGTTTTTTTTAGAAACTGTATATCTGTGTTCAAATATTTATTTCTCTCAACTAGGAAGTGATATTTCAGAAATTCTTTCTCTACATGTTTATCTATATGTCTAGAACCTTTTCTCAAAATTTCATGATTTTTGGAATTGATTTACTATTTTTAATTGATTTTACAAAGTCAGATACGCAAAATTCCAGAATCTGTCAAAAACAAAAACTATCCGTGAACAGTGCGGTCGACCGTGCTACAGTATGATCAACCGTTGTTACTGTAGCAGTCAACCGTTACACAGTAACGGTAACATCTATTTTTTTGTTTTTAATGGGTTTTTGAGGTTTTTTGAGTTGTTTTCTTCAAGCATATATATACTCATTTGCCATAACTATTTTAAGCAACTAAGAGAGGGTTTTAAACCAAGTTTAAAAGAGTTTTATCAAGGGTTTAAGTTTTTGTATAAGTATGTTTAAAAAGCTTTTAAGCATTTGAGAGTTTGATTTTGGAAAATCAATTTCACAAGAGCTTAAGGAGATTATCTATTGGTGTTTGAGCATTCAACCATCCTCCCTCAATCTCTTGATCTATTGAGAAGTTTTCTAAACTCTATTTTCTATCTCTTTTATATATATTTGATTATCATTGTTATTAAGCTAGAATTATATTGAGTTTAGTTTTTTTATTTATTTCTCCTTGCTTACACACACACAACCTTTGAGCTTATTGTATTTACATTCGTGGTATAATTGGGTTGTGGGATTGTGTAACCTAGAGAGTGAGCTTATAATTCGTTCTCATCCATTGTAGAGAACAAACACTTTGTATTGTACTTAATTGTGAGATTCACTTTGTATTACACTAGTACACCGAGAGGAGTGTGTGGTGAGAGTCGGGTTGCTTCCAAGAGGAGTTGTGTCGGTTGACGAACCTAGGGAGAGGTTGTATCTGAGCACTTGAGGAAGGACACGGAGAGACCAACACTTAAAGGGTGCAGAGTGTAGTTACATTGTCGTATTGTGTGGTGTAAACGTTATTCGAGTGATCGTAGAAAACCCGATTGTGATAGTGGGTTTCTCCCCGGGAGTGGGGAGCGGAGACGTAGGACGGAAGGTCCGAACTCTGTAATCATTTGCTTGTGTTTGAGTTTGCTTTGGCGTTTTATTTGTGCTTAGTATTTATTCTTCTTGTCGTCATAGTCTATTACCCTATCACATTTGTAGATTGTTTATTTCACCCTTGTGTTAGTTTATATATCCTTGCATATATTTCACTATATATCTCATTGCTAGGATATTGCTCTTTATTCATATTGCTTATCATTGCTTGTAACATATTGTATATCTATCTTGCAAGAATAATTTGTTAATTAGTTTTAATTGGCATAAAATTAGATTAGATTAGCATAATACCCTAATCAATCCCCCCCCTCTAGGGTCTAACACAACACACAAGCCTCTAGGTCGTATTCATGTCACACAAGTCACTATAGTCATAAACTCCTAACGATACTCAATCACAACAAGGAACAATCAATGCAACTAATCATGTGCAATAATATCATGGCATATCAGATAATCAAAATTAAGAATTATAAATCATAAATTGCGTCTACATAATTCAGAAAATAATATTTTTCTAAATAAATTCATTTTAAATTATTTCTCTTAACAATTAATCTAAAATAATTCATTTTCCAAAATAAATTCCTTTAAATTATTATAATTATCTAAAAATAATTCTTTTGTCGAATTAAATCCTTTTAATTCATTATAATTATTCTAAAAATGCTATTTATCATATTACTATGATATATTTAATATTCTTTATCAAACAATCTCAAGCAAATAATTATATCACAAACTAATCTATGTAATCAATAATAACAGATATGAAAATGATAAATCGATAAGCAAGAGGGATCTTGCCTCGGGGTTTTTGTCGAACGGATCGACGTTGATGTGCGAGTCCACGGCGAGCAGCGGCGAGCGGAGGAGGGCTGCTGGAGACTGTCAGGGCTACAACTGGGTGTTGAGGCGGCTGTCAAGGCTGACGGGGCTGAGCAGCAGGGGGAGGGCCTGAGCGGCAGGCCTGAGGGACGTCGAGGGCTGCTGGGGTTCGTGAAGACGGCTGGGCTCAGCGGCGCGGTTTCGGATAGGCGTGGCGAATTGTAGGAGGTGGCCGGTGGCGTTTGAGGCAGTGAAGGAGGGCGGCGTCGACGACGAGGTATCGGGCAATTCGGGGTTGAAGGAGGTGGTGCTGGGGTGCTTGGCAGCGTGAAAAAGAAAAGAGAGAGAATGAAAGATATATTTATATGATTAGGGTTAGGGAAAAATTAGAAATAATTAATAAAAATATAATTAATTACGTATAAAATTAAATAATTATGAAAAAATCATCTACAAAATAAAACGTACCAGTTATACTAATACAACAGATAATACACAATAGTAGAAATAATACAACTAATTGTACAATTAAACGAGAATAATTAATAAAAAATATAATTACTTATAATTGTACAATTAAACGAGAATAATTAATAAAAAATATAATTACTTATATTTAAAATCAAATAATTATGGGAAAATTATCTATACAATACTTATATTTAAAATCAAATAATTATGGGAAAATTATCTATACAATAAAACGTACCAGTTATACTAATGCAATAGATAATATGCAATAATAGTAATAATATAACAAATTATACAAAATAATACGTAATAATAATACAACATATTGTATGAAATAATACGTAATAGTAAAAATAATACAACGTATTATTCAAAATGATACGTAATAGTATCGATAACACAACGGATTAATTCCAAAAAAATTTTACTGCACTAAGTTAATTTATAAATATCAAAATCATTTAAATAAATATAACGGATTAATTCCAAAAAAAAATTACTGCACTAAGTTAATTTATAAATATCAAAATCATTTAAATAAATATAAAACTTGGACTTTTAAATCGTAGAATATTCTAGAAAATAAAGAAAATACAAATACTCTTTTAAAAATAATAACTAAATATTTTAAAATACCAGAAAATTATTTTAACTAGTATCAAAATTTTACGGTCATTACATAAGTTCACACTCTAATTATGATCATAGAGAGATTAAGCAACCTCAATCTGCCCCTAAGAAAGACTCTGGAATTATGAAGAGTACTGAAGAAGCTACAAATAAAAAAGAACCACCTAAGAAGCAATATATTTTCCGCACGAGATGCACGTGATGTAGAAGACATGTGATGTTATTATTGACAGTGATAGTAGCAATAATCTTATCTCTCAGCATATGGTGGAGAAGTTAGGTTTGAAGACGGAGAAATGCAACACCTCGTGTTCGATCGACTGTATTCACAAGTGTAATGATGTGCATAACAATGAGATGTGTCGGGTTGATAAGGTACTATGTGATGTGATTAAGATGGATGTTTGCTTGGTGGAGGGTTCAAGGCAAAGGAGATGAAAGAATTGTGTGAGGAGTATGAGGGAGAATTTTATTCTTTGAAGGCAAATGTTGTGAATAATTTCAAGAAGTTTTTGATGATACTTCAGGCACAAGAATATAAAAACAACAAGGAAAAGATTTGGAGGAAAATTTCAAGTTATCTATAGATCCACATGTCGTCGGCCACATAAACATGGTGTAGGAAAGTTTTATTCAAAAGTTGATTCAGAAGAAGCTTTAGCCGAAGAGGTAAAGCAACAAATGAAGAAAATTAATGCTAAGTATAAGGCATATGCTGATCATTGCAAGAGAAAAAAAATATTTATCGATGAAGCTACTATTCAAACAAATGTAAACATGAGTTGACTTCTTTCAACAAGGAGAGACTTATGTAGGATGCTTAACAGATAATTTCATGGAGGATCATGATAATCACAAGCTAAATGCGCATACATACATATTACTGATTTTTGAAAAAAAAAGATCATATCTTCCAATCCAGAAGGTGAATTTTGACATATTATACATGTAAATCACCTATCTCGTCGAGACGAAGCCAACCAGGTTGTCAAATTTCTAAAATATCATCATTATCACTAGTTATTAGTAGAAATCCAAAAACAATTGCTATTTAGTTTATTTCTAGTAATAAAGTTAAAGTCTATTTAGATTAGGAAATAAATTAAGATTTGTTGGACTGAATTGTTTTCTATATTATAGAGAGTATTTTTAGGATAGAATTTGATATTTTTTTATTTCTTCGTAATTCTAGTATTATTAGGAGTCTATTTTTGTTTTTCTATTTAAGAAGAGTCATGTAACTCTAGAATCATCATATCATTTTTATCAATAATTTTTTTATTATGCTTTCTTTGTGGATTCGAAGCTTTTCATGGATTCGGAGATCGTTCTTTGTGGATTCAAAGATCACCCCTTGGTGAATTCAGAAGTTCATCACTTCCGTGATACATTAGTTATGGAAACAATTACCTATCCGACTTATGATGTACCTAAAAGTAGTGTGTTTAACTTTTTCTCTTTTATTGTGCTATTGTTTGCTCTTGAATGTCTACTTTTTGTACCATTAGTCACAATAAAAATTATATGACTTCTAATCTTAACAAGAGTATAGTTTTCTTGCAGATATTTATATTTAATCTTTGATTATGTTCTATTCTATATAGTGGAATGACTAGCAAAAATAGAGAAAACATGAATTAAAACGTAAATATTTTAGATTAAAACTTAACAACAATTGTTTGAATTGAGAAGGACGCTAAAATTAAGAGGGGCAAAAAAAAAAGAAAAAAGAAAAAAACACAATATTCAACAACAATGCATGAGAATATGTACACATAAAAATGTAGCAAAAGCAAACAGCAAGGCTAGCCCGTGCTTAGCACGGGGTAAATACTGCTGTAAATTACGCTTGAAAGTTTCGATTTATTTCCCCTCATTTTAAAGTGGTTAAAATAAATAAAAATAAGGCCCAAAAGTATACACGGAGTCAGCGCCCTTCCCCTGTGAGTGCGAAGAGCAATGGCTAGCTTAGCCCTCATACAAGGCTACTCATCCGCCGAAGACGAAGAAGAACGACGTCATCTCGCAGACTCGGACGACTACGATTCAGAGAGATCGGACGACGACGACAGCGACGACGAGGCTAAGACCCCTCGATCTCGTCGAAGGAAGAAAAGCCCTCCCCAACCGCCGGAGTTCTTGAACAATGCCGTCGGGTGTGGAGACAGGAGGGAGGAGGCTGAGGATGTTGATTTAAGAGGGAGGAGGGGTAGGGCCAGGAGGGAGAAGAAGAATCTTCCTGCTGGTAATAAAAAAGTTAGTTAACTTCTGATAATTCCCCAGTTTGTTTCACGAAGGCTCAGTTTGCAAATGATATTGTTTTGAAATATACATGTAGGATGCAAGAATTTGGTATTTTTAGGAAGATTATCTCTTGATGGGTGCGCATATTGTGCTAACTATGTGTCGTCTAGTTTTATAGCGCTCTAGGCTCCCACCTTGGCCTAGGCAGTACATAGGCCACCCGCTGAGCGCCTAGGGAAGCTTGGGCCGTTATGCGGACTGCAAAGCATAGGTTGTAGTCTGGTTTCTCTGTTTTTACCTCCGCGTCCTCCTACCTCCTTGGCCTCCTACACCGACTTTGAATACTTGCTCCATCTCCTACAACACCTTCAACAAAATCTCCTCCGCCTCTAGTTAAATAAAAAAAGAAAAAAAAATTCTGTCTAGGCCCCACCTAAGCGGCCGCCTAGGCGCTAGGTGATAGGTCGGCTCCTGGAGGCACCTAGCGCTTACTGTAACATTGTGTCAAATTGTTGACTTCAATGAGGAAAATATTTTTTTTGTTAAAATGTTTAATGTTTTTTTGAAATTCTTGCTCAAGAATTTCTAGTTAAATTAGTTTTAAGACAAGTGTTGTCTTTTTTTCGGGTAAATAATGTTCATAGCATATAAGGATGTATTGAATTTGTGTGATCTGGCAATTAGTCCCAGTGTTATCAAAGGCCCGCGTCTCGCAATGCCTCATGCACCCTGCATTGATATGGGACGGTGGCGAAGCACCCCGCATCTGATGCAACAGCGCCTTTTGCGCCTCTCAAACATCCTTCACTTAGCGCTGGTGCATCTAATACATAACCTTGTACATTTTTGTTCTTTAACATTTCAAGCGGATCTTTATATCCGAAAACTCATCTCCAAAAAGAAAAATAAAACCATTATGCCTTTTTAGTAGCCCGATTGACGATCCTAACTAATCCTTATTCACTTTTGATTTTGCCTACATATTAGTTTTGATTTTACTTTTGATCTGGTAAATAATGAACTTGGCTACTATGTTAGATGTGTTAGCCATAGGAATTAAGACCTCATAGTCTGATTTTGTAGTAGATATTATTCATCTTGACATAATTTTTATGTGAAAGTTCATAAACATATTCTTTCCTGCTTCATTATCTATCTTGTAAAATTATGTGCATGGTGTGTGCGCCTAGCTTCATTTAGGCACGCGCATCGGCGTTGCGCCTTGTGTATATAAGCGTGAACGGACTTCGTGCCCCACATTGCACCTTGCACATTGATAACACTCTGTCCTAATTGTGGATGACTCGATGTCGTTACATGCTCTTATGTTCAAGGTTTTAGTTTTTTTCATTTTTTTGGTGTTTAGTTGTGGTGGTAGAGGCAAAAGCTCAGCTGGTGGGGATTCGTGATCGAGTTAGAAGCGATATAGAGGGAAGCAGTCCTGCTCCAGCTACTGTTGATACAGCTGGGGATGGCAAACGAGTAATTACAGCCTCAAACCCTGAACCAAAAGATGCTGCAGATCTGCTAAGGTACTTACTTTGCTCTTTAATAAGCAAGGCAAGTGCTTAAGACAATTGTGGTGTTGGTCTTAGCATTTATTTTAGTCAGAATGCCCCAATGATGTCTATTAATTTATCAAGTAAAGCTTTTGCATGCGAAACCCCATGTTAAGAATATGCAATAATATATTTTACTAATAACAAAATAGGAGTTGATGTTTGGCTTATTGAGTAACTTTTCAGCAAAATAGTTGGTTGCTAGTAAGGATCGTTAATTTGCGGGCTTGGGTCTCGGGGGTCCAAAAATCAAGACCAGGCTAAAACTTTTGGCCAAAAAAGGAAAATGTAAATGTTAAATGTTTAGCGTACATATATATCTTACACAAGTTCCTGGTGTTTGAGCGACTTAAAATGTCCAATTACAACAGCTTTTGGGAACAGTAGGTCACTGGACTCAAATATAGCATGCACATTACATGTTGATTCTATATATGTAGAGGAGAAACTAGTGGTGGCAAGTGAGTTGTGCTTAGCGTAATGAATGTTCAGGCTTGTGCGTGTTGAATATGTGCCATGCCATATGTGGGCATAAATTAGTTGGATCTGAGTTGTTCTCAAAGCACGGCTCGATATCCCCCCCTCCCCCCGGACCTATCTTCACTTGATGGCACGATCAAGCTGAAATGGGCTAGGCATCTGCTCGGTTCGGTCCCAACAATTTTTTTTCCAAACTTAAATTAAATTTCGGAATTTTATATTACCAAATGTAGACAAAAATAATATAAATTTGAAGAGAAAACATAATTAAAATTATTGAATAGTTTTCAAATAAAAGATTACAAAAATAATATAAAATTGCCCAAAAAAAAAGAGATTACAAATATAAGTGAAATTGAAGTCAATTTTAGATTTTTGTTGAAAAATTTGTATTATAGGGATATTCTTTTTGTTGGTCTGAATCTAGTTAGAAGTAGATAGTGACTATCAGCACTAGAAAGTCGAGTTTGTTGAGGATTCGTTCACTCTTTCTATCCACAGTCCAAGTATCTAATAAGGTGTTCAATTCCACTGCTTCTTTATATACCTTTTATGTTGGTTACATTATGCCTTGTTGCCCTCTTGATCATTATATTTGTAAATGTTTCCAAACTGCGGATGTTGATGCTCGTTTGAAAGACTTCTCAACATTTTTTTATGGAGGCTTTTGTTCAGGTGTACCGTCGCTAATAGGCTGGGATGCTATTTCTATTTTGAGGTCATTACATGGAATGTTAAATGTATCCATTACACGTGCTTGCAATTGTGGTCTTTTCAACAACTATGAGTGTAATGTTTAATCTCAAGGTATCAGTACCACTACCACTAATGCTATATAGTTGAGGAGTGACTACCCATGCTAACTACCTACAAAAACAAAAATAAAGCAAAGAGATGTACTTGAGTTGAGATAGTGAACGTATAGAAGAGTCTTTAGAGGTGGGAAACCCTGCAGAGAAGACATTTTTTTACGGGATGGCCTGAACTAGATAACCTTTTTTTAACTTGGAAACTTGGGGAGTTTAGAGTGATTCAGAGTAGGAAAATATGAGAAATGAGAAGAGGTTGAGTGAGTGGAAGAAGAGGTTTAGGGTTACTTATGGAGAAAAAGCCTACGTATCACTATTTGTTGACTTATTTGTTTTTTCATGACGTTAGTGAAGGTCCAAATGACTATGGAGTAACAGAACACTTGTTAGTGCCTTTTCTTTCAATTCTTCCGTTATCCATTATATTTATAACTTTACCTAAGCATTTGTTCTTTAATACGACAACATTATGCTTCCGATTTTATTACATGAGAAGTGAGCAACCCTTAGAATACTGTATCTTTAGTGTGAAGTCGGTTCTTCTGTATGATAGCATATACTTATAATACTAATAGGCTAATATATATGGAGAAATATGGAACCTTGGAACCGACAAGTTTTCCATGAATGCTTGGTAGTGAGGATGCGCAGATAGTCACCCTAATATCACGCCTTGAAGAGAGAGCTTCGATCCAGCTATTCATCTACTTTTAAAAATAGGCTCTATTTTCGAGGTGTGGAGTGTAGGGGGGTGATTTGACCACCTCACCACAAGTTCATGAAAGAACTTGGGTATCAAGGTTCTCCATATTTCTCCTCTTCTTCCGCTAGTATATATGGTATTATATTACGTGATATATTAGAGAAAGATGGGTATCACGATTAATCTCGCAGGAGTATTATATAAGTAATAATGGTTATCCATTAATCTCATCTCATCTCTCTCTCTCGCGTCATTCCGCTCTCGTACCTATTTAGTATATCTTATGCTATAGGTATAGGTAAGACCCCTATACTGCTTACTAGATGCGACTATTTTAGGTATATCTATATACTAGTATTACAAGTCTAGGTATGCATATACGAGAATAATGGAACATCCGGATTACTCCTCTCTCTCGTCGTAAAGCGATATACCTAGTTAAGAGTATAGTATATAATATATATAGAGAGAGAGAGAGAGAGAAATGGCAGAACCTTTGCGTACCAAGTTGCTTAAAACAACTTGATAGTGATGTGGCCTAATATTGCCCCTACGGTCACGCTCGGAAAGATAGAGTCTCAACACTACCCTTCCACCAATCTTAGTAGATGTAGGGACCAAGCAGTTAGGATCCATCACTACAAGTTGCTTGGAGCAACTCGGTACCAGAGTTTCTCAATTCTACTCGTTCTCGTCCTGGTATAGCCTAAGGATGGTCTATATTATCACTACCAAGTTGCTCTGGGAGCACTTGACGTGGTAGCCCAGTTTCTCAATTTCTTCCGTCGTCTCTTCTCGTTCTCCGGTTCATGACGTAAATCTTAGGCGGCGGATTATAGGTATACTATAGTATCTCCATAGTTATTACTAACTACTATAGACGGAGGGAGAGAGAGCAAGAAATGGAGAGAACTTGTACCAAGTTGCTGCCAAGGCCAACTGGTGAGTGATGTGCCCTGAATCTTGTGCCTACATCTACATTAGAGTTGTGTGAAGGGGTTGCAGTACTCTATCTTGACGGTGTGACGTAGGGGCTAAGGATATTATTCGCTGTGCGTTTATCTTAGAATACATATTCAGTTGTTTACTTAGTCAAGCTGGGGCTACAAGGTCGTCCAGTTTGTCTCGCCTCTCTCGTCTCTCTCTCTCGTCGTGTATTATAGTGACGTGAGCGTCGAGTCGGGAGCAGATTCGTATGAGCTAGGTATATATGCTTACTGTATGAAGAGGAGATAATAACATGGTCAGACTTGTGTGTTTAATAACCATGTCATTTGTCTGACATTAGTTATTCTACGGTAGCGGGGCGTACTAGGGGCCGAGTAGATCGTGGCATCGTTGACTGATGGCATATGTGTGGGGGGTGCAGCCTTACGTGATTAGAGAAGAGAGAGGGAGCGAGACGCGAGGATTATATATGGAGGAACCTGATATTTAACCAGTATCCTTGTCGACTCGTTATTTTGAAAGCGGGATGCGGTTTTCGGCCGCTGAGTGGTTGAGAGCCAACCTCGCGATATCGGTGAAACATTCTCAAAAATGGCAGCTGGGAGGTGGACCTGCGTCTCTTTAGTTACACTAAAGCTACATGGGATAGAATATGGAGAAAGGTGTTGAATCTCAAAGAGATTGACTATATAGAGCCGTTCTTCTATTTACCATCTTTTAATACCTGACAGTTCTCCTAAGCATCCACTGATTTGCAGAAGATAAAAATATTCTTATTTCGAGCCAACAATTAGTCCACTCGGCTCTATATTATAAAAGTATTTTATAGATTGCATATTAAATGTACTCTCACACTATCCATTGCAAATTGCGCATTATAAGTTTATAGTTTTTAGACTAGGCCTAAGTCTTCAGCAAAAATCCGCGATTGTCCACATCCTTCAGTCGGAAATAGACACACTTAACATATGTTGCTCATCACTTCTAGACCTTACTATCTCGCGGGGTCACATGGAAGTCTCCGGGTATGAAGTAAACAAACCATTATTTCTACAATCGTTCCGAGATGATCGCGTCTAATCTCGCTCTGCTTTCTCACCTTAGATTCAAGACTCCCTCCTCCCGCCCCAAACTAAAGTAATACATGACTGTTCATGAGTCAAACAACACTGCATGCCTTCTCGCTGACTTGAGAGACGTCACTTTTCGGCATGCCGTACTTCTTTTGATCCTCCATATCGACCAGACAACACTAGTAACAAAGCCTCACCACATCGGGTACACCGTCGGCGGACTGTAGGTCGGCGCCCACACCTACGTGGACATCGGCTCCAATCTGCATCTGCGTGTCAGTGTTCTTATTTGTTAAGAGAGCGGATAGCAAACATAACGAAGAGCAGCACAAAGAAAGAGCGAAATAGGTTGTGTCTGGGACGGCGTCTGTCTCTGCGATGGCCTGACGCCCACACTTTGGGGGAGCATACAAGCGGAAACCAAACGGTAGACTATAGCTCGACAGATCTATGTTACAAGATCTCGCTCATGAGTCAGGCCCTCGCCGAGGGCCTCCGCCCTGACGCCCGACTCCTGCGTGAGGGAGAGCGCTCCTGTAGGGCCTTGGAACGACTGACGTTTCTTGTTGCGTTGTTCTGGTCTAAGTTTTCTTGGGTTTCGCGCCCATTCCCTTGCGCTGGTCCTTCGATTCGTCATTTCATTGCTCTGGGGCGGTTGTGTTGCTTTTCCTTTGGTTGGTGGCCGCGTGTCTGGACAAAAGATCGATATCACTTCTGCCGCCTCGGGGTGATCTGAGTCGACCGCTAGTCAGCTCTGCAGATGTGGGTGGGTTCTGGGCGAGGAGGCTCGAGTAGCTCACGTCACCTGGCCGGCCATGGGCGCCCCTCTCTCGTAAGTACTATGACCTAACAGTTAAGCTGCTACTTGTTGAACGACAATAGGACTCAGCACATCCGAAATGAGCATTCTACTCCTTCTTTTGCTCATCTTCGCGAGGACAGTGCGCGGCTGCACGGACGCCGGCTCGCGCTAGTGGAGCACGGTTTCGCCGCTAGAGTAGGCGGGTGTCGTGCGACTCTGGTTTGAGCTTCGTAGGTTCTCGAAACTCTGTGTAATCGATCCCGTTACCTATGTCGTATTTTCCCGCACACAAGCTAACATCTGACTTGATCGTCGAAAGGACCGCGGGCGATTTCCTGGATGTCCCGTTAACTGGTGCCCCCTCGTTACCTTCTGCCCTCCCTTTTCGCTGAGTCGTGTATGCGTGAATCAAAACGATCTAATCGGAGATAGCGCGCTGCGTCAGAGAGTGTTCACGATGCCTCTGCACTTCGGTCATGCCTGGCTTCTGCTATTTCTACGAGCGCCTAGTTTATCGTCCTCATAATTTTGCGCCCAGTAATGACTGCTTACGCCACGCCATTTAGCAGCTCACCGGTGATGCCCCTTCGTTGTTCATGCGCAACTAATCATGTCACTCCACTCCCTCTAAGGTGTATTCGGTTTCCGGGTGACTCGTGCCTTACCTTCAGGGAAAACCTTGGCTGTTACTTTCTGTATGACGATAAGACAATGCTCAGGAATACTACTTTTTGCCTCCAAAGGTCAAATCCTACACCGTTTCAATTGCGTAAGTCCCTCACCTTAACGCCGGGCATTATCGCGTGTCCGTGTTGTCAGACATGCCCCGCTCTCGATTGCGAAGTGGTCGCTTTCGAGTCTAATATTCGTCTACTCCGACTGGGGCTCGTGTTCTCAACAGTACGTTTGTCGCTACATATTAGGGGTGACAGGATCAACCGAAGGGCTGCTACGCCCGTGCACTCGGCGGACAAAAGCCCTTTTGGCTCGCGTCTGTTCGCGGTAACCAATGGGCGAGGCCCGTCGTGCCTGGGGTGGACAGTGGCGAGCCTTCCAGTGCCCCGGTTTTCTAACCCCGTCGAATCGGGTGTGGCGCTAAAAGCCATTGGTACTTATCAGCCGATAAGGGAGTCTATTAGGCCACTGCGATCGAGTAAAAAAGCCGGTTGGAAATATCCTTCTCAGAGGGTGTAAAGACAGCCAAGCGAAGCGTCCATTGAGTCAATCTATTCTCGACAATAAAACATTCATTGGGTTCTCCCTGGCGAGACGGACGTCCGTGATTAGACGCCTTGCGTTGGAGCGGGGGCCCTGCGGCGTGGATCATCGGAATAAACCCAAGCACGAGGCCGAAGTAGCCACGACCGAAGAAAGCGTGCCCGTTTTGATGATCTTAAAGGTGTGTCGGTTTATGATTAACAAGTTACTTGGTCTAAATGTCTCAATGGAGACCCTTGCGCACCTAGCATCGCGAGGTTTTAGACACGAGCAGGATGTGAAGCACGAGTCGCGCCCGCCGACCAGTGCTGATGATAGTTGTCATGTCGGCTGTGTATGTATGTTCCTGAGGTTTGTTTCTTAATGTAGTGTTGGATGGTAGACATCAATTGCCTGTTTTCTTTATTTTTCTATGGTTNTCTCTCTCTCTCTCTCTCTCTCTCTATATATATATATATATATATATATATATATAGAGAGAGAGAGAGAGAGAGAGAAATATGGAGAACCTTAGTACCAAGTTCTTTCATTGAACTTGGTAGTGAGGTGGTCAAATCACTCCCCTATATCACACCTCAAAAATGGAGCCTATTTTTAAGGGCATGTTCGTTTATTTCCTAAAAACCAAGAAATGGAAATGGAAAAGGTGGAAATCTCAAAATAATCCATTTCTTCCATTTCCATCCCTAAAACTCACCCACAACATCCAATAAAATATTATTTTCATCCAACAACTTATCCACATCATCTAATAAAATATTATTTTCATCTAAGCACTCATCCACCACATCTAATAAAATATTATTTTTATCTAACAACTCATCCATCACATCTAATAAAATATTATTTTCATCCAAACATCACTCAACTCATCTCTTCTCATCATTTCAAATCACTCACATCATCCAATAAAATATTATAACAATTCACCTCATCTCATTAACATTTCATTTCTTCATTTTCATCCCAAAAAGTTATGAAAACAATCCAAACATCACTCAACTCATCTCTTTTCATCATTTCAAATCACTCACATCATCGAATAAAATATTATAACAATTCACCTCATCTCATTAACATTTTATTTCTTTGTTTTCATCCCAAAAAGTTGTGAAAATACTTTTCTTAATCTTTCTTCACATCACCCAATAATACAATGACAACTCATCTCATCTCATTTCATTTCTTATTTTTAAGAATGAACCAAACAAAAGAAAACAACAAAACTATAGGAAATAGGTTTCTTATAATTCATTTCCTTATTTTTTTCGCCAACCGAACAACATCAAAACTAGTTTTCTTAAAAAATTACTCACATCATCCAATAATAATGTGACATCTCATCTCATCTCATCTCCATTTCTTTGATTTCCTTTTTTTTTAGCCAACCAAACAATTCAAAAACCCATTTTTCTTAGAAATAGTTTTCTATTTCTTTGATTTCCCATTTTTTTAAGGCAAAACGAACAGGCCCTAAAAGTAGATGAATAGTGATTGAGGCTCTCTCTTCAAGGCGTGATATAGAGTGAAGATCTGGCTACCTCACTACCAAGTTCAATGGAGAAACTTGGTACCAAGGTTCTCCATATTTCTCATATATATATATATTGAGTATTTTTTGATATTTCTGTAAAAGTTTGCTTCTATATTGTAGCTGTAGACTTTTGGGTGCCCATGTTAAATTCCTCTTAGATGTTCTTTCAACCGTCTTGAGTATTGTTATAAACTCCCTTTGGTACTGGCATTTTAGCTCCCATAAAAGGAATATAAATCAAAGTATTTATTTGGTTATTCAATTAATTTGATCCTGACTAGCGGGCCTGTAAAAACCTCATTGTCAAATAATTATAGCATCACAGCATTAGTAATTTATTTGGGCCAAGTTCCCATACGCTGGGGAGCTTATATACAAGACCAATGCTAACCTTTGTTTCCTTGATGACATTATTATCAGGATGTGCCTTCAATGTGGGGTTCCAAAAACCTATTCACATAATCGAGGCATGGTTTGCCCTTTATGCGGCGATCGCCCTCCTGCTGACCCACTGAAAGAGTCCGAGAAAAAGAAAGGATCCACCATCAAAGATAAAGAGAAGAACAAGAGGATGAAGGGGCAATCGAGCCATGCGACATGGAAGAGTGAAACGGAGATGCAATTAAGGCAGCAGTTTGATTAGAATTGACATCAAATGCTATGAGGGTTGATAAATGATTAAATCATCTTTCGGAATCTTGTACTGTATGTGTAATGGAACTGTATGAAATTGCTTTTGATGAATACTTGCAACTTTCCTGTTAGAGTCATGTGACCAGCACATAATGAGTTTCTTAATTCAGGTGCGAATTAGCAAAATTATTTTGTAATTTGTACAGATGATTTAATCGTCTGTTATCTAAATTGTTCATCTGAGCATTGACAAGAAACTTCTCTAGATATCTGCTGAATCTTGCAATGCTTTCATGAACCTCTTGATGACTTGTTAGTGGTGGATCGTATTAGGAATTTCAATAACAAGTCTACAGATTGATTAATCATGAATTGTTGAAGGTGATTATACGGACCCGAGATTATGGCTAGATAATCAAGCTCAAATTGGACTCCATGATAGTTGAGTTGAAGAGGATCATTTTACGATAGTTAATTATTTGTACTAGTTAGCAAGAAATATTTTTTCAAAAAGCGAACCAATATGGTTATGAGGACGGATAATGAAGGATTTAGATCTAAGATTGAACTATTGCGTACGTATGTGCGTAGACTGTCAACCATAAGAACATGTTTGATGTCGGTCTGCGAGGCATATTTGCAAATCCACCACAAGTAACCAAAATTTGCACGATTAGGATCACATCACATTTGTTAGAAACTGATTATGATCTGAAAGAATTTTATCGGTTTAATTTAATTTAAGCTACAAACTTAGTAACAATACCAATCTTGAGTCAGAAAAAGGATCAAATTAAGTCCAAAAAGCACGTAGTAAAAAAAGAAGGCAAAATGTCTGAACTAAAAGAGACAGTACGTGTTTTAAATTAATCGAGAAGAGAGAGATAAGCGCGAAGAGATGATGTCAAAAATATAAATAAATAAATATAGCATCTCTAATTAAAAAAAAAACTCAATCTTTGTGGACAATAACCATGCACATCAAAACTCCAACCGACAATCTACTAGAAAAGGGGAAGATGAGAAGATCACGTAACTCAACCTTCAATCTTCTGATAAGAAACATTTTCACCCATCATCATAAACTTCTATCATTGCCTTGTCAAGGCCAACCATGCATTTACTTCCAATGCATATTACTCTCTGAATCACTACTTTGTGTTGCATGATTCTTTGATTAACTATCATCATCTGAACAATCAACACACTTACATCGGTATCAAATCAGAAGAAAAAATCACTATTTGAATCGCAAGCACTTCCTGTAGTACTCAAACCATCCATGCTTTCTTCCTCCTCTTCCTGTTTTATACACAACCGAGGATCGAATGAACGAACGTAATCTATGATCCTGAAGCAACAAGATGCAAGTAGAGGAACCAACAATAACTGTGAGTTTCGGTATAGGAAACTGGTAACAATGGTTTCAAGATACAGGACGCATATGCCATAGCCTAGAAAATAATCAAATTTTTGGCCAACATTTTACATTCTGTCTTGGAGATTTCTTATGAGCTTGAAGAACTCGATCCAGCCAAGATTTTGAGAGTTGGTTTCGAAGTTAAATAGTTAAGAGTTAATCTTATGGAATCAAAATACATACTAGAGCTATAGATGAACATGATAAGGTTTAACTAATCTAAAATGTCTTGTGAATTGATTTGATGAGTTCTTGATTGAAGCTCAAACTACCTCAACTGAAAGAAATCTTTAAGTAGTTTCGTATTTGGTTTAATGTAGATGAATGTTTCATTGTTTTGGTAGAATTTAATCAGAAGGATTACTTAACAAGCTAATCTAGAAAGTTATTGAAAAGGATTAGTTATACAGTTGACTTGAGATCCTGAAAGTATCAAATATTATACCTAGTGTTCCTCCTATAATTCCCACGATCCTTAGTAATCCTTTCTTTTCTTGTTTTCAATTTGTTTGGCATATTCTTATAAATTGAAGGACGTATAAATATTTGAGCAATTTTCTTCGTACCACTCGTTATTTACAAATAACATACCATCCCTCCGTCCAACTGGGGTTTTTAAATAAAGAAAAAAAAAAGTTCAAGGTGGTTATCTACAACACTCCTAAATTTAGGGTGATTTTAACAAATGAAAATAGTTCAAGGGGTTATCTGCTACACCGCCAAAGTCTAGGGGCTCCTAAAATTAACCCAAAAACAAATCCTTATCAACTGTCACCATAAATTTTCAGTTTTCACTTTATTGTCCAAAGTAAACTTGCAAATATATATAGAAAATTAGAAAGTCTCGACAATATATTTTTGTCTTTTTTTTTTAACCTTTCGTTTCCTTCTAGATTGCCAAACATCCCACTAATAGAAAATGAAACTAGTGTGAATTATAAGTTGATCTCTGCATTGCCAAGGAAAAGAGAAAAAAAAATTCAAATTCAAATTGAATCTATCTCAAATAGAAATATCCAAAAGTTAATAATAGCATCACGAGTTAACCTCACGAACTTATAATTATACTGACAACTCGATGAATCACCTTTCTGTTCAATACTAAAATCATAAATTAAACTATGTGAGGCTTAATCAATCGAGGGCACACGACAAAAAAACAGTTCAATAACCTATCCCTGAAACTGTACGGCATGTTGCATTCCACAAATTAGGTCGAACCTATCAAAAACACAAAACATAACAAGTAATGCTACTTTAAGGGGATGTTCGATTGACTTGAAACAAAGATGTACTAAAACAAATGCTACAGTCAATTTCTAATTTCAAAATGGATCAACGATAATGCAGTTGCGAATCGTAATAGATTTTCATTTAGTAAGAAAACAGAACTTATGGCATTTGTTGCATCCAATTTGGCAATAAAGAAATGATGCAAGTCCTTGCATTACTTAAAAAAACAATAATAACAAATTAAAATTAAATGCAAATGTCATCAAGTTACTGGACTTCAACAGTCGTAGATAAACAAACACTCGATTTGAAAATGCATTTCCTACAGTAAGAATGCAGATATGAAGACAGATGGAGTGGAGATACTTTTCTACAGAAACGGCTACACTACATGTAGCATTTTCTACATGCAACCTTCGTCCTAATTACCACTGCAGCATCCGCAAAAATCCCTAAATTATAAGTTACCAGTTACCAGTTAACAACTAGTCAAGGAAATTATCCACAAAAGGATCTTAGACAAAGAGAGTCAGTTACTACAACCAATATTTGTATTGACTTTGGGCGTCTTTCATAAATGATCATGTTGAGCGAAGCACGTAATTACCTTAGAAAACTATCTCCAGTGTAATACTAATTGCTATGTAAACAGTGTATTGGATGTCCATGACATGTTCTTAATTTGGAAATGGTGAATTGCAAAGGTAATTGTGCTAAAGTTACTATGCAACTCTGGAATCCGAATTATGCTGAGAATGAAATTAGGACATAATGTTGCTCATATTTCAAGTGGAAGTCCATAATTTCCCAGTCAAGTATCTGTGAATCCTCATTAGTGTAAGCTCAACAACGTGACTAGTTGTGTTAGAAGAATAGTATCAGTTCAGTTAGTCCAACATCGCTTATTCATGTATTTGTCCTCTAAATAAAGCTTGACGATTCCTATCTAGTTTAAGTAAATTTTCCCAATACAAGATGGTATCAGAGCTAGGTTCCGATCCTGCAAACCTGTGGGTTAGGACCCACCACACTTCAGCGACTAAAATTATTGTATTTCAAAGAATGCCACAAAATCCATACTAAACGCCTATCCACCCCCAACCCATACACCCACACAAACAAGAACCATACATACATACATACACGCTCTCCCACATGAACACGTATGAAAGCGAAATTTCTACTCAGACAAGTATACTTGAAATACTTATCCTCAATTTTTCATGATTTGTTATGATTTATGTATTTTGAATGAAATAATAGGATTGTATCAGATACCGGAACCTATTACATCGCATGCAGTTCACAATATTTGACTGAAATAAGGAACAAAGGGAGGGGGAGGAAACTTAGAAGTTCCCTGGAAAGGTTCCATAAGACTAACAATGGTAGAATTCTTGAGAAAGCAATTACTAATTCATTAAATATTCAAGGCACTGATCCCGAATGTCATGACAAATGAAACAATGTACTATACCAGTCATAACTTGGATCACAGCAGCCATCAGCTGTAGGGAACCTGAAAAAAGTACAGTTTCATGCTCCCCATAGACTATAGTTTCTGCTTATTGAGGTCTGAAGTCTAAAGTTTCTCGTGAAACTGCATAACATCAGAACCAGGCATTCAGGCATAACGGAAAGTTAATGTCAGCATTTCTTCTTAGCAACACGACACTCAAAACATGTCATTGAACTACTAACCGGATCCACTTATATTCATCCGTCTCCCTGAAGGATGAAGTATGTTTTTGCTGAGGAATAGCCAAGTTATTACCTGAAATACATCAGTTATCATGTCACTTTCTGTTTTAACAGAAGTTCATTAGTTAACAAAAACCAATTTAAAGGAACAAAATACTTCTAAAATTTGAATTTTTAAGATGTTGGTCCTGCGAATTATAGGTATTTTTGCATAGGTGCTCCAAATATTCATAATTCCAAAAAAGTCCTAATTTTTTTTTTAAGTGACACCAAATCAGTCCCCAAGTTAAAATTCATAAGTTGAGGGAGGTAGGGAGGGAAGGGTCCCATCTGAATTATATTTTAATAGAAAACACTAGTGTTGACCTATTTTGAATAAATGAAAGGGTTTTGGAGGGCTTATTTCTTAATATCAACGTTTCGGGATCTGTTTCAAAATACTGATGCTGGGGGGCAAATATCTTAAGAGATCTTCGAACTTCATACAGCAAATAGTTCTAAAGACCATCACCTTGATAAAATAGAAGTGTTTGGATCACCAACAGTTGGTTATCTTGTTGCCTTCTTCACCTCCTGAACAATTGCATCAGATAACTGTAATGCATCATATTCAACCCCAAATGTTTTCACAATTTCCATGTTCGGGTCAAATAGATACCTGTCCATAGCATAAAAAAAGTCATCGTCTTTAAGTCCTAAACTTGATATGTTTAGCTAAAAACAAGGGTTAAGGGTCAACTACATGTTGTTTGAAGATTCAACAAGATAATCTTGGCCTTCTTCATCAACTTTCTTGAAGTAAACACGGTACTCTTGTGCCATTTGTCTAACTGCAGCGATTGGGCCTGTAAGTCCCACTATTCTTGAATCAAACTCTGCAATTAAAAATGTTGTCAACTATAAAAATACCAATATGGAGAGAATGCACACAAAGACATTAATAAAAAGTGGGTTAGGAAGCTAACTGCACAAGCAACAACCTTTAAGATATGCTTGTAGCTGATCCGGGGTATCACGTTCTGGATCAATAGTAATAAATACAGGTTTAAGCTTAATACTGTATTCCGATTCTGTAGACAGAAATAACGAGAATTCTTAGACATAACTAAGGAGAAATTCATGAAGAAACTTTCATGGATAATTATCTATATGTAAGGATAATAAAATTAAAACCAACATGAGAGTACATTATGTGCAAGAAATATATACAAACGAGTACCACGTCACAGTGATTAAGTTAGATTAATCACATGGCAAAATTTATGAAACAAATTTGGTATACTGGTGAGTACTTTGTGTCCCATTCCATTAATTATGAGCTCAATACCTTGAAAAAATAAAATATCATTTTTAAAGGATAAGTGGATATCATGGAACAATAAATGAATGCCTTCTTAGAAAGTTCGCTCTCATTGAGGATAAAATGTGAGAATTATTTGATTTGGTTTGGTCATGTGCAGTGAAATGTGCAGTGAAGGCTATTGAATACACCAATTAGAGGAAGCGAAAAGGTTACAATAAATGGAGGAAATAAGGACCTGAGGTGGACCTAAGTGAACTTGGTTAGAAGTTGTTAAGGATATGATAATGATTAACTTCGTGAAGGAGATAGACCTGGTCCTTGAACAAAACTGAGTGGAAGAGTAGGATTCAAGTAGCCAACCCCTAAATTTAGGATAAACACTTTATTTTTGTTGTTGTGGTGGTGACTGTTAATGTGACAGTACAGAATATAAATTTTCACATTACAGGTACTAAAGTAGTATATTAAATGTCCTGTTTAAGCTACAGGTCCTCAGCCCAAGAATTGCTAAAGAGAAACATCAGCCACAGGGAGGACAACCTCTGCAAATTTTCAAAATTAATGTGCAAAAACAAGAAATGCTAGAATAGACCTTACCTAGTATGTCAATGGCCTTGGCCATCTTCTGAACTTCTGCTGGGCCTACATCAGGGGATGAAGTATATCCACAGTACATCAGTGTCCAATTTCCACGAAGATCATGATCGGTTACCAAATGGTTTTCAGTATCGTAAAGCTTAAATGGCCCTCCAATAGCAGGTTTGTTGATATATTTCATGTCGGAGAAAGAACCTTGATTCGATCCTGATAAATATGAAAAAAGAATAGGTAAAGGGATTTCATGAAGAATAGACTTCATCAAAATTAGGAGGCAATTCAATCATGGTATAAATTGGCTATGAAAACAAGCAAAATCATAATGATTTCACATAGTGCTAGCCATGCAGTAGCACAAGACAATAATACAGTTCAAAGAAACAGGAAAAGTACCCTTGGGAATAGCTCTCCTCTCATCGTTATATTTAATGAATAAGCCAATTCCAGCAATTGCTATGACAGCTGCTGAGGGCTGCAAGAAACCAAACATGTCATTTAAGTATCAAAATTTTTAGAAAATCAATTACCAGAAGCCCACTAGTTAACTAGAAGAAAGATTTTCAAGGCCTCGTTAGGTCAAGTGTTCCTAGCCAATCCCAATTTGAAAGGAAATCACAAATACTTTTGAGTTATAACTTAATGTACATACAATAACATAAGTTGCCCAGGGCCGAGATTGCGATAACTCTTCTTCGCTGCCGAACTGTCTGGCAAGTTTTTGATCACTATGGCCAGATCCTTTAGTATAACTTCGATATCGACTGCTATGAGGAATAAACCTGTAAGTATGAAACTAGTTTCTTGTCAGGGAATTACAAAATTAGAGATTGAACAAATTTTCAATAGAAGCTAACAATCATCAGGAGAAAGAACTTTGTGAAACTTGATATGAGCATCCCACAAGCATGTTTATTTTGCTAATCACTAGAAATTACAAATACACATGTAAAAATATTAATGAATTACAGAATCTGACTATATATATAAAACGGTGTGGTGCAATTTATAAGATCAACTGCAAGGCAATAGATTAGCTGCTAGAAGTTTGTTTACTTGTACAAATACACTCGTAAAAATATTGATGAATTACAGAATCTGACTATATCAACCTCATAAAAATTTGCATAAACTTCATATATTTTTCAGATCAATTCTCCAACAAATACAATGTACTTAACATAATGAAAGAATATAAACAAGTAAACAAACTTCTAGCAGCTAATCCACTGCCTTGCAGTTGATCTTATAAATCGCACCACACCGTTTATATATATAAGCAAAGTTGTGATGCAGGCACATACTTTTTGATGTAACAAAACACTCCCC